CGGGGAAACCAAAACAGATCACCGAGTGCAGTTCTCTGCTTTTGATGCAATTAATCTAATTCGGTCACAATATTTTCCACATACAATACATAATTCTTTTTTTTTCTCATGAACCTATAATTATCTCACACCTTTCACCTCACCTGAGGGTTTTTTTTTTATTAGTTTGCGAGGGTCTTATCACATTAATACCCTACATTACCTAGATAGAAGAAATCTGCACCATTGTTTAATTGAAACTGACATAGTTTAAATGTTCACTCACTGACTCAGCAGAGAGCTGCGGTTTATCTGTTTATAGCACAGGTTCAGAATTTCTGCTGCATCTATTTTTAGAATTCGTTATCACATGTTTCAGAAGAGCTTGCAAACAATATAGATGGGACAAACTGACCCACATGTTTCTATGTTTACATGACCAAAACAGTGGCTTGAATCTTACTTAATGAGTGGTGTAAATTTAGTAATATTATGGCTAACCTGTGCAAAAAAGGAAGCAATAAAACACGGGTACCCATAAAACACTGTTGTTATGGAATCTGCAATAGTGACTCAAAGTATGCCCACAAAAAATATATGCAAGGAGTTGAATTTATTAGATTTCCCACACCTTGGAGAGATATTGAAAAAGTGTCAAGGTTGGGTGAATGCTTGTAAACGGTTCATTGGCGGATCCAGGGGGGGTGTCCCGGGGGTTGGAAGCCCCCTTTATTTTTTGTCAAATGGAGAGAGAGAGAGAGAGAATGAAACGTTTTCCGAGAATAAATTAAGAAACATGTATTTGTACGTCTAACTTATATATTGAATAGATAGATTCTCACACATTAAGTTCTTCCACTCTTATATTCCTTTTTTTTATGAAAGAATAGTAGAAAACATTCTACTTATATATATATATATATATATATATATATATATATATATATATATATATATATATATATATATATATATATTCAAAAAATTATTTTTCCTTGGTATAGGGATAAAATAAAATCCAAATTCAAATGATAAACTGTTTTATCTATAGCGCTATGTCATCAGTAGATTTTGAGGGAACTAACATGCAACTCTTTGTTTTAAACCCAACCCGCACCCCACCCCAATTTTTTTTTTAAATTCCAAAAGAAAAGTTGTTGTACTCTTTGGAAATGCTGCAAATCCATTCAAATTTAAGGCTTCAGTAATTTTTTAATTTTTTTTTTAATTCGGAGTAGAGGTACCATTCCAAAGAAATAAATGGACGTAAACAGATATTATTTACCGAAACTTAAGATCTTCCATACGTGTGTGTGAATCTTTGTTTGAGAGTGTGTTTAGGGGGGGGGGTGTACAGAGACAGTACAACCCTGGAACCCCCCTTTCAAAAATGGCTGGATCCGCCTCTGAAACGGGAAGGATTTTCAACGAAATTGGGTATTATCCGTAAAATCGCGTATAACACTGGATATAAGGGTATCGTTGAATCCGCGATATCTAGTAAAGGCGGTGTAATCACTTTATAAAACTTAAACAATGGGATGGCACATTTTGCGGAGTCAACTTTCACCAAGATGCAAATGTTTTTTAAAGGTATCACCAGTCAAGTAAGAAATTGGAATTCAGGATTGATGCGCACTGGACAACAAATACCTGTACAGCTTAGTACATTTCATGACCTGCACCCAAACAGGCATTTGTTCTGCTTAATATTTTTCATAATGTTGAAAATATTTGCATCCTCTTCATGTTCATACCCAACACAACAGAATTGTTAATTAAAAGTTGAATGTGCATGTAGATCTATGCATTGATATATCTGATTGCTTGTACCTCAGCTCATTTTAGTCCTGAAGATTTAGAGATGCTAAAGTACTTTTTGGCTTTCTCACATTTCAGGAAGCTCTTACCATGAGTCACTAACAATTAGAGTGGTTTGTCCTTTTGATGAAAAATAGGAATTTGGTTAATTACATAATTAAACATCAGACTACGATAACATAAATGAAGATATGTTTGTGAAACACTGTTGCCCCCCGTGTGGTAATACAGTGAAGATTTAACTTTTCTTAAATGCAAATTTAATATATTGATACCAAAAGTAGGGTATTCTTACTGGAAATACAATTGTGAAAATTAATATGAAAGTAGGTTAAGGCTAAAGTTACTCCATAGGTACGGGAATCTCCAAGGTTAAGGTCAAAAGGTCATGATTGTTGGTATGCAATGAAAAGTCTTTCCACAAAGAATACATACTAGCAGTATGTGAAGTATGAAGCCCTAACCCTTCAAAAGTTATGACAAAGGATATTTTTTTTCAAAGTAGCCAAACTCCAAGGTCAAATGTCTTGCTATAAAATGAAAGGTCTTGTCATAAGGATTAAATATTTAAAGTATGAAAGCACTAACCCTAAAGCTTTAAAAGTAATTCTCAAGATGTGCTATATAAAAGTAGGTCAAACTTCAAGGTCAAAGGGTCAAAGTTCTTGGTATCCAATGTAGGGTCTTCTTACAAGGATTACATATGTGAAGTATGAAAGCACAATATCCCTTACCATTCAAAAGTTATGGCCAAGGTTAAAGTTTTTTCATAAGTATGAAATCTCGAAGGTCAAGGTCAAAAGGTCAAGGTTGTTAATATCCAATGAAAGGTCTTTCCACCAAGAATACATATATGAAGTATAAATGTCCTGGTATCTACTGTTCAAAAGATATGGCCAACTACCCTTAGGCAAATGTTGGGGTCACAATATGAATAAAAAATTCCCAAAAGACAAACAATCATGTTCATGTTAAGCCTCCGTCTATCAGTACTTTCAGTACTTTGATTTCTTCAGCAGTCGTAATTCGAATGACATTTTTTCGGCTTAATGGCCGAGATAAAGAATTTGGTACAGTGTATTTTCAAGGGTCATGTGTTAATAGACTTGTAACAAGAAAATTATCTTTACACTCTAACATGGATGAAGAAAGCTGTATTACTGGTTTAATTATCATTAGGTCAGGAGAAAACAATTAATATTCAGTTTCCCTTATAAAATTCAATAATACAGAACAAATTTTGAACTTTATATTTATGAATACACAAGTTATATCTTATTTTTGAGATTTTAAATTAAAAAAAATGTTTCTGTACATGGGTATGTGTTTATTGCTGCTACCAATATAAAACAGTATGTTACAATGAAGTTTTTAAATGTGTCAAAAACTAAAACTGATTTTAAGATTGATTTGATTTCCTACTGGAAAAACACGAAATGTGTAGTAACCACGATCAATCAAATTGGTTTGGTTTAGATTTGACAGCCTTCATTTAAATCCCCCGAAGTTTTTTTTTTGGTTAGCTACCGACTTGTTTTCAATAGACTTAAAGAATCCGAAATTCATTAAGCATTTAATAGATTTTTTCTTTCACCGGTTTTGTTGAAACCTGTATAAATATAGAATGCACTTGTATAATATTACGTTATTTGGATGTTGGTTAATTGGGGAAATAACTTTTTCGCCCTAAATTTTAAATCGAAATTAAACTGCATAGTTGATGATCTCATTTTATTTGGGGCTGAACAAAGAGCTTAACTATGAGTATAAATGTGTCTATTATGTTAAGTGCTCTGTTATGCATTTTAAAAAATGTTTGCCTAATGGGTATTTAATGCTGGAAATATTTTCGCCCCTTGGTTTTGTTTGATGAAAAAAAAAATCATTGTCCCATGCCTGTTTGTACCGGTCCAATTTTGATTAATTTATCCTGGTCCCTTATTTAGATCTATCTCTATTGTGTTATTATTCGACGTTGGTGGTAGATTCCTAATACAGAAGCACATGTTGGTTGTATTATTATTTGTGTCTTATAAATATTCAAAGGCCTCGCTAAAGGTTTAACAAATGGAAATACAGAGAGAAAATATCATGTTAAAACCGGTCCGTGGAAGCGTTATGAACATGCATTCAATAATGAAGTTGAAGATATGCTTTATCAAACATTAAAAGACTGCACAAAAAGATATCTCTTATCTCTTTGTTTTTTATTGAACATCGTTTGTGTTTTGCAATGTAAAGTATGTCAATGAGTTTTCTTAAAATAGACTGCACTGAATTATGTTTCTTGTCCTTCTATTTGATGTATTAGTCACAAGAGTTTAAGGAGGCTAGGGGGTAAACAAATTATTTTATTTATTAACTACCAGATATAACTTAAATTTTGGGATATGATATCTTAAGCTGTCAACTATCATTTGGCAAAGAAAAATTTCATTAACTTTAGTTTTAAAATCTGATCATTTTATTATATTTTTATATGGAGCTCTTCTTCTAAGAAAGATCAAAATAGTCTTAAAATGGCCACGAACATCCAGCCTCTTGAAATGTAATTTGATTCTTTTGCATGGAATAAATATTTTCTTTAAAGCCACAGTATTAACAAATCCGAACATTTTTGTGTACTTTACGTATTCTGAAAGTAAAACTATTTCACGGAGGAGATCTTGGAAGGATAAAATCTTCTTAATTTAAGGTTTGCATGGTGGAATAATTAAAACCTCGTCCTCCTAAATTTTTGGCTGGTGACATTTGTATAACTGACAAACTAACCAGGAAGTAGAGTTCGATCGACCTTCACCAAATGATAATTTAAAAAATCTGAATTATATAATACTTGAGAATTCAAAGCAAGCGCTCATTTCTTCACCATGGCCGTTAATGCAACAACAAAATAATGCATAGCGGTCAATACTTTAGAGAAAGAAAGTGAAGACTTTTTCCTAATAAAAAAAATGGACGAAGAGGTAAGTAGAAGCCAGACCAAAATGTGAATTTAAAAGAAAAAAAAATAAGAATTTACATAGCAAAATTTTAAGACTTAACAAAAGAGGAGGCAGGTTTGAAAGTCAGTACAACTCGACTGTGTGACAAGCTATTACATATTTTTGATGTTTTTGTTTCAAAGGTAGAAGAAATATGGCAGATATTGAAGACCAAGAAACGACCAAAACTTGTTCTGTCCGTAGTTGGGGATTCAGAAACCTTCGTTCCTAAAGTTTGGTCACGAGATGTATTCCAAACAGCGCTTATAGAGGCTGCAAAGTACAGCGGAGGGGGTAAGCAATAATATTTTATTTGACTTTTTTGTTTTTGCTTTGTTTTGTTTTTGTTTGTTCGTGTATTGTTGTTTGTTTGTTTGTTTGTTTTTTGAATATGTGCTTGCTTTAAATTTCTAGTCACCGCCGAGAATCTGCACATTCTTTCATTATGAAATGAAAATACTGAAACTTAATTATGTATGAATGTAGTATATAGATGCTAATTTCTATTTAATTCGCAATATATGCACGTGACCAATCATGTTGAAAAGAAATTCTACAAAAAAAAAACATTTAAGGATTTCTATCCCCAAAAGATACATAATACTCTGATATTTAATTAAAGCATTTTAAAGTAGAAAAGGATTGCCCGCGACATACTTTAAAAAATTCATTAATTAAGCAGTAGTTAATTAACAAAGGTCTTAGTCGTAAGTTCTGTTGTTAAACGGGTCCCTGGATTTTCTGAAGCATGAAACTTAAAAAATTATTACTGCTCTCTAATTTCCTGTACCTTTTACAAGTGCAATATACATACACTTTCAACAGTATTGTGATTAGTTTTATTTAACTATTTGTAAAATAAAGGGTTCTGGGAGTTGTATAAAAAAGTCATATCTTCTCTGTACATTTTCTAATTTTCATAAAATTATATTGCATTAAATGGGTATTTGAATCAGATTGGAATTCTGCACTTAAAGAGGCTTGGGGTGGCAGCCATTTTCAAACTATTTCGATCTCCTTTAAAAATAGAGCTCCATATAAAGATATACAAAAATGATCAAATTTTTAAATTAAAATGTATGAATTTTTTCTCTGCCAAATGATAGTTGACGGCTTAGGATACCGTATCTAAGAAAATAAATTAAATCTGGTGGTTAGTTTGTGGTAAATTTGTTGACCCCCAAGCCTCCTTAAAAAAGGCCCAACCTTCATCACGTCTTCGAGCCATGAACTTATCTACAGAATAAATATCATCTGCAATAAGAGATGGTTCATTAAAGATAATCTTTCAGAGAATTGTGGTTCCCGCTCTCGCTGTCATACTGGGGTGGATGACATTAGTTATGGCATATTGTGATAAATATGAAAGTTCTATCAAATGGCAAACTTGAATATATCATAAATTAAAATTTTTGAAAATTGGGATCAAATATCGAATGTCAAGGGTAAAAAATAGCAAACTCGGAGAAATCTTGATATAGGTAATGTGCATATCAAACACGATAGCCCCATCTCTTCTCAATCAAGATTTTTGAAAAGAAGGTCAAGGACATAGGGTCAAAAATCATACTACATAATTATTTAGTGAATAAGGTATGGTCGCAGGTAATACATACACATGTATGTTTAATATAAAAGTCCTTTCTTTCTCTATCAAAAGTTTTGACAAATTGAAAAAAAATTTAAAACTCTGACTTGAAGGTCAAAGGGCCAAATCCATAGTTTATTTGAGAAAATTTTGTCACGGGTAATGTACATGTGAAATATAAAAAAAAAACATTATCTCTTCCCATGCAAAGGATATGACCAAGATTATCGGGAGAATGATAGACAGATAAGAGTAGAAGACAAGAGTGATAACTACAGAGTATCTGTAAATCCTTGCACAGGTCATAATAATAAACGTAATTTCAGAAGATTTTAACTAAAATTCATATATAGAAATTAAAATCAATGATGTTAACATAGCTGATTTAGTGCTTGTTTTGGCAGCTTTACTGTCTTGTTGCTTGCAAAATAATTTATAAATCTAAAATGACGTGTAAGAAAATTCTTTTCAATAAAAAATGTCAGCTTTGCACCCGTCTCTAATTCGTCCAATTTAAAAGTAAATATCCCTTCAAATAAAGAGTATATTCAATAATTTTCAATGATATTGTGATGGTAAATTGGAACTCGGCCAAGATCCCGGAATAAGATCGAAGAATGCAAGAGGTATCAGTGCACCTTTAAAAAGGGCTATGTATGGCACGCTAAATTCACAAAAATGAGCAAAACATAGTTTCACAGTCGATATACTAGGTTTATCGTTTGTAAACTATAGTTTACGGACTGTAAACTATAGTTAACAACGTTAATCTATATTTTACACCTGTAAACTATAGTTAACGCGATAATCTATGTTTCACAACCGGAAAATATACTATCACCGAAAACAATCATTTGCGATCGCAAAACATAGATTATCTGATAATTACAGTTTCAAGATTGTAAACTATGGTTTACAAATCTCAACTTTAAACTGAAAATCATAGTTTACAGATGTGAATCTATGTTTATCAACAAAATCTATTGTTAACGTTTTATTACTGACAGATAAACTAAGATTAGCATTCATAAACTATAGTTAACAAACGTTAAATATAGTTTTACAGATGAAAACTATACTTAACGTATTGTAAACCATAGTTCGGGGTTAGTAACTATAGTTTACAGTCGATAAATATAGTTTATCAATTGTGAAACTATGTTTAGCACGCCAAATTCACAAAAATGAGCTAATCATAGTTTCACAGTCGATAAACTAGGTTTATCGGTTGTAAACTATAGTTTGCGGACTGTTAAATATAGTAACAACGTTAATCTATATTTTACATTTGTAAACCATAGTTAACGCGATAATCTGTTTCAATACCGTAAAATATACTTAACACCGAAAACAATCATTTGCGATCGCAAAACATAGATTATCTGATAAATACAGATTCACGATTTGTAAACTATGGTTTACAACTCTTAACTATAGTTAACGATCGTGAATTAAAGTTAACAGAAGTGAATCTGTTTATCAACAAAATCTATTGTTAACGTTTATTGCAGACAGATAAACTTAGATTAGCATTCGTAAACTATAGTTAACAACCGTTAAATATAGTTTTACAGATGAAAACTATACTTAACGAACCGTTAACTATAGTTTTTGGTTTGTAAACTATAGTTTACAGTCGATAAACCTATTTTATCAATTGTGAAACTAGGTTTAACTAAGTTTGCTAGATTTGTGAATTTGGCGTGCCATAGCTATGTATTTGGCACTTCCTTTTTTGTTTTGAATTTAAACAAAAGAATACGTTGAATTTTTTTGTACATACAGAAAAACTTTATGAACAACCCTATAACTTTTAATAACTTATGAGGCATTGATAATGTTTTCTTTAAATTTATAGATACATGGATTCTGTATTGTGGAAGTCGTAAAAGCACCGTGTCTTCGATGATTTCAGAAGCATTTGATACATATACCCATTTAGAAAATCTACATTCGTATCCAAAGGAAGCTGAATCTTTTCCAATTAAACCAATTACGCTTTCTTTTGAAAACGATTCCAAAAAGGACAGAAAGGTTTTGTAATATAAGTTTTGAAGTTAAGACAGGCCACCTGTTTTGAACACCCGTTTCTTCCAATGCATAGTACAGTTACATATATTTTTGTGGGTGATACTAAAACATCTATAATTTTTCATTTATAATATAATTAATACGGATTGATTAAGCAGCAAAAATAAGGAAGTAATCGATATTAAGGCAAACATTTCGAATTTCCATTTGATGTTGAACATCGTGTGCATGTGTAAAAGATGCCATGTAGAAACTGTTAATTAAAATATATACACGGCCCACGTGTTTGACAAAAAACTTTGATTAGCGAGAACTTTATATTCGCGCATATCTATCTACATATTCATTTATTTAAATTGTAGCCGACACAATTGACGGGCCTCATTGAATGTATGTTTCATGGGGATCCAGAGAAATTCGATGAGTATCACTTACAGCTAGAAAGCTACATTCATAACCAGACGGTTTCTTTATGGACAGGGGGAGCTGAAATTGGGTACATTTAAACTTCAATGGAATATGAATGGAAATTTACATGCTATTCCTTTTGAAATGTAAGATACAATGATAAATTTTATTTTTATGCCTCTGGATCAGAGATCCGGGGGTCCTATTGATTTGTCCCATCTGTTTGTCTGTCTAGCTTTTTCTGTCTGTCTTTTGTCAACTTTAACCGAGCCCAAAGCTATTGAGGGAGTGGGGCTATGACTTTCATACCAGTATTTCACAGTGTGTTCCTTGTGACAAGATATTTCCATGGGTACCATCAAATTTGACTTCTTCATCTTGACCGTGAAGTTTGAACTACTTTTACAAAAAAATACCACACTTTAATCTTGCCCATACCTTTTGACCAATTAAAGTAAGGGCTTCATACTTCACATATGCATATTCATTGTAACAAGACCTTTCAGCTGGTATAAATATTTTTTACCTTGTGACCTTGACCTAAGAGTTTGACCCACTTTTTAAAACTTTAACTTGGTCATTATTTTTGAACAGTTAGAACTAGGGTATTTATATTTTACAGTACAGGTGTATTCCTAGAAATGACACTGATCTTTGGGATTTGACATGAATTTGAGAGAATTCAACCCTCGCCATAACCTGCCATACGGGGGGCATCAGTGTTTCACAAACACATCTTGTACTAAAACTACTTTTTACCTCCCTGAGCCATCATTCTTTCTAGGGAATAGATGCATCTGTTGCATTGTTATATATGTAAGAGCTTTATTTGTGAAAAATTTACAAAAGATAAGTCGGATGTCGTAGCAGAAATGTCATTTGAATAAACGGGGGAATGCTTTCAAACATATTCCTTTATCTCCTTTGTGAAGTCTGTACACACAATTGTGAGTTTATAGATATTTCTTTATTTTTGTCCTCAGATTTACCTATCCCAGTTGTTCGAATCTTAGTGGAAGGTGATTTAAACAGCATCCACGGTATAGCCGAGTCTGTAAACAGAAATTTGCCTGTGGTGATCGTAAAGGGTTCAGGAAAGGCGGCTGATCTCACAGTGGACTACATCGAGAAGTATCACTAGTATTTTAGTTAAAAATCAAACGTAATTAGCATACCAAAATACTGATTCCCATATTATAAAGTACTAGTTTACTTTTGTTAAAAGTATTGAGTAAGAAAAGAAAAACATTTTTTTCATCGAGATATTTAATTGTTTTAAGATCTATATTATTGAATATGAACCTTTTTTTCCTTATTTCAAACCTTAATGTAAATCACAGATATGGTACAGGTAATTCAATCTTGAAACACTTTAAGACATTTGCAATAATTTGAGGAAAAAAGAAAAATGATATATGGCTTCATAACCGAGTCTTGACCTACAAAACCTTTTTAGGTCACCTGAGTAAACGCAGATGACCTATTGCTATCCGTTTTCGTCCGTCGTCGTGCGTTGTGCGTTAACATTTGAACATTTTAAGCTTCTTCTCTGAAACCACTCAACCAATTTTGGCATAAAGCATCTATGGATAAAGGGGAACAAAAATTGTGAATTTCATGGTCCCTGCCCCCTGACGCCTGAGGGGTGGGGCCAAAACCATTAAAATTGATACAATTTTTAAAAATCTTATTCATTACTCCTGGACATCAAGCAGTCAAACTGTTTGCATGATTGTAATTAGCATTGAGTCGTCTACCAAAATTATGAAATTCATGGCCCCGGGGTCAGGTGTCTTAGTGCTAGGGCGGGGCTATATACGAGATAGATAGTGAACATGCATTATTTCTTTGAAAATCGTCTTCTCTGCTCCTTGGCATTAAATAAACAAACCAAGTACATAGTTTTGTTGAATAAGGCTGCCTCTTACAAAATTTTGAATTTTATTGCCCCAGGGTCAGGGGTTCTGGTGTTAGTATTGATTATATAGTGAAAATGAATTAATTCTTTGAAAATCTTCTTCTTTGCTCCTGGGTATCAAATAAACTAACTAAGTACATAGTTATGATGAGCAAGA